TGCAGTGATTGAAGTATCAGACAGAGTAGGAACTAGGTAAATGATTGCGGCGATCGCCTAATAATCATAACCCATCTCCCATCCTATATTGTAATCTATTTTTTTGTTTCTTTGACTCCAACCATTTTGTAGCTTGAAGCCCACATGGGTTCCAAATTCTACAACTTATTTCTAACATAATAATAAGATTAACACTTACCATCTCCAATTTGTCTTTGAAGTCTTGGTGGAGAGTGCATTGTGGGTAGACTTTCAGTACTGGATTGTGGTGAAGATGACTTTGTTGGACTTGCAAATAATCTACTCCCAATTACCTACACACAACAATCAAAGAAATCTTAGAAAGAATTCGTGTGTGCTGAGGGAATTGAATATATGTGAGCATCAAAATTGTTGATTTCATTGAAATAAGAATTTATTAATACTAAAATAGCTAAAATTGGCTAATTATTATGCAAATTATATTATGTGAAAACAGGGCTCAGACAGGGATATTCATGAAATAACTGTCACACAATAATGAATAGTGGGTCATTCTATTAGTTCCCTAAATAATTGTATGTTCTTAGTAGTTTTTATTAAAAGCCCGTCCATAGGAAGCAAAATAATTTCAGTACATGCTCTACTAAGAAGCATATTATAGTAAGAATGCATCAGTGTTATAAATTCTCACAAATAAAGTGGTAAACATCAGGGCTACCAACTCTTAAAAGTGAGTGGTCCTGATGGAAAACCAATTTGCTAGTGCTGTTAAAATCAGTATAAGTAAAGTACAGTATATGCACTTAATTATAGTTTTAGTTGCATTAATCATCAACATCATCCAGCATTTCTTTCTTCAAATTCAGAATTAGGCAGAGGGTTCTCCAAACCCGCTTATTCACATAGTTCATACCCACCATACCATCAAAATGACTATTTTGAACTGTAGGCATTAATCAGCGATTCTGCCAATAACGGAGAGATAGAATCTAAGTCAGGGGAAGCCCCATGACCCAAAGATTCTTTTCCTTACGTCACGAACCACGTGACCGAGGCCATATGGCAGCGCCATTACGGCTGGCTAATCACTCTGGTTTTTTTCTCTCTGCATTGAGGACTTAGACCAACACTACGGAAAGAGTGGGATGGTTGGGGATACCCTGAATCTATGGTGGGTATGAACTATGTGAATAGGGGGGTTCGGAGAATCCTCTGCCTAAATTAACTATGTTCAATTACCCACCATAGACTCCGGTCAGTCAAAATGACTATTTTGAACTGTAGGCAGAGTCAGACCC